GATTGCCGGAAAGAGCGCGTGCAAGTCTAGAACGTGCTGATGTGAGACGTCTGCTTTAGCCAACCAGTCAGACGCATTCATGTTCGCACGGTTTATGAGAATAAAAGCCTTTGAATATTTTCCCAGACCCATATGTTCATCTTAATGCCAACTGTGTAAATAATTATCAATAAGAGGTTTATGATAAGTCATTGTTTGTTTGCCTTCAAGCTTTGCGTGTGCCCGTGAACAGCCTGTGAGCACCAGTACACACACATATCATGTACATCTCGACATACGAAAGTGTTTCTCTAATTGTTTTCATCTGAGTTGTTCAAAAAACTGATCATCCACAGAGTTTGTAACGTAGTCAAATGTTTACAAATACAAGCTCAGCCATTTAGGAGTCATTTCTGGTTAAGGATGTCAGAATTTAACAGTATTTTGGAATGGACGTGTGAATGCTCTTTTCCAGGAAAAAATTCCATAACGTCCTCGCCTGTTTGAACAGCGCTTTTTTGAATTTACAGGTAAAGTCGTTTTCCAGATATTTACCGATATCACTGTGTGAAAGGGGCTAATATCTGCCAATTTCACAGATATTTAATGTCCATCACTCGTCTCCCGATCTGGCCAAATCTTGTTGCAGAGCCGCTAATTTCACCTTAATGTTTTCCAGTTTGTGGTCTAGGACCATATTCTGATTTGGGACCCTACCCACTGCCAGCCTGGTGGGTTTTGAGCAGCACTGACCGCTTTCATCAGTCGTCGATACCCCAGAGCCCTGCAAAGCCCATCAACATAACCCCTGTTATCAAAGTATATATGTATATATGAACAGTTCCAGCATTGTGGATGAGACATTTGCAGTAAAATCTCAAAACAAAAATTTTTGGAGAAAATATATGTTGACATTATGTATATGTTGTTTTAGAAAATATAAACAGATGTTTTAATATAATGCTATATTGAAACATCTGTTTATATTTTCCAAAACAACTAACCACCAAGTTAAGGGATCAGAAAAATGTCAATCTGTAAACATTTTTTATACTTTAAATGAGGAAAATATGTGACTGAATAATGTGACTGAAAAAGTCTGCAAGTTTACAGTATACAGCATACTTTGTAGAAATTCTGTGAATTAAACTGTACAACCTAAAAGAAACAATACTCATCAAAAAGGATAAGAATTGCTCTCTCAGAACAAAAATGCTTGATTTTATTTTGTTTTACATTTTTTATTTATGAGAAAATGATTTTCATTTATGACTTTTATGTTATGGATGTGACGGATGTGAAATTGCTACTTTTGTGAGTTTGGTAAACCATATTTATTTGAGAACTTTGGCAAAGACAATTTTGAGTATTTTTTTACAGTCCTGTAAAATACAAGCCTACAAAAAAAAAAGAAAGGGTTTTGCTATTTTGCTAAAATCTTTTTTTTTTTCATGGCAACGTTGACATTCGCATGGAATTGCTGATATATATATATATATATATATATATATATATATATATATATATATATATATATATATATATAATTTATTTATTTTTTAGCTGTAAAATGAACAATACTATACTGTATTGGCAATACTGCTTCTAAAATATAGGTTTCTAGCATAAATTATTGTTTACCACTCAATAGTGAGCTCCCTTGAGGTGTTTAGATTCCCTGACTCTCTTGATGACTGTGATACTGTTTTCTTTTTTGTAAATTGTCTCTCAGAAAGTATACGCTGTTCTCATCTTACATTATTCTTCAACAAAATCCACAAAGCACCTACGTTGTCTATTGTGAAGAGTGTCATTTTTCTTCCTTGACTAATGATTGCATTATTGTCACAATTGTCTATTGTGAAGAGTGTCATCATTGGCCAAACCCTTGCAATTACTGTCGAAATAGGAAATTCCAGTTGCGTGACACCTTCATCATTCTATTGATTAGTAACCTATTTGAAGGAAAAACACACACAAAAAGCACAGGGGATTTTGGTTTTGAAACTGTATTAAATGATGCGAATTTCACGTGCTGTCAAAACACTGGTTATTGGTTTACATTAAAAAAAGAGAAATAAAAATTAAACATGACTCAGTCAGTAGGAGGCTGTCAACGACTTAAAATAAATATGACGAAAACAAAGAAACCTGAAGCACATTCTTGAAAAGAATGAACATTTTCTTAAGGGGAAAAACATTTTTTCGAGCTTTTGTGACTAGGCTGTATCTTGAGAAAAAATCTTTAAAACAAATACTGCTGTTGAAATGTGGACGAGTTTACGATGATACATGTTAAGATTAAGTGCTCTGATATCTTAAACTAGTGCAACTCATTGTATACCTAGAAGGAAGAGAAAGATTTTACCTTTGAACCTAGGCTTTACTGTAACTTTTTACTCACTAAGTGATGACCCACCGATTAAAAAAACCTAAACAAAAAAAAAAAAACATTACACTTGTGGTCAAACGTTTGGGGTCAGTAGTTTTTTTTTTATGTTTAAGTGTTTCAAAACAAGCCTCTCCTGCTCACCAAGGCTGCATTTATTTAATCAAAAATACAGGACAAATTGTACAATTGTGAAATGTTATTGCACTATAAAATAACTGTTCAAAAGTAGTTTATCATTTAATTTAATAATTTATTCCAGCTAGTTTTAATAACTATTTATTCCAGATCTTAAAGCATTTATTCTAGCATATTTTTAATAACTATTCCAACTTTTAAAGATTAATTTTCAGCTTCATTACTTCAGTCTTCACAGTCACACAATCCTTCAGAAATTACTCTTATATTAATTATTATCATTATCATTATTATTATTAATAATATTTATTATTATTATTATTATTATTATTATTATTATTATTATTATTATTAATGGTAATAGTAATAAAAGCAATAATGACTGGAGTAATAACAATTTGAAACTCAATCATTTAAAATAAGTTATTTAAAATTAGATTTTTTTTATATTTAATAAATGCTGCCTTGATGAACAGAATCATTTTCTTAAAAAGAAAAACATAAAGAAAAAAAATGACCCCAAACCTTTGACCGCTAGTGTACACATGAAATAATAATTAAAATAATAATAATAATAATAAACATTATTTGTGTAATAATTTAACACATCTTCTATTTTTTCTATAATTAAAAAAACAATTTTCTACATGAATTTACTCTGTACCAACATGAATTAATCTTGAATCATTATAAATAAATGTAGAGAATGTTTAATTAAAATACACTTAAATTATACCAAATAAATTTTAGTCAACTAAATCTTGAGTAAATTTAGTCGACTAAAATGAGTCAGAACACTAAAATAGGACTAAAACTAAAATGAAATTTTAATCTAAAGACTAAAACTAAATCAAAATTTGCTGTAAAAAATAACACTGCTTCAGAGCCACATGTTCAGAAATCACTCTGATAGTAGTTATTATATAGAATATAAAACAATTTAACATATATTTGTTAAAGTTAATAAAAACTGCCTTGAAGAACAGAATCTTTTTCTTAAAAAAACATGAAAAAAAAACTGAGCACAAACTTTTGACCGGTGTACCAGAAATCGCTCTAATATGAATTATCATTATTCATTCATTTCATTAATTTTCTTGTCGGCTTAGTTCCTTTTTTAATCCGGAGTCGCCACAGCATAATGAACCGCCAACTTATCTAGCACGTTTTTACGCAGCGGATGCTCTTCCAGCCGCAACCCATCTCTGGGAAACATCCACATACACTCATTCACACTCATACACTACGGACAATTTAACCTACCCAATTCACCTGTACCGCATGTCTTTGGACAGTGGGGGAAACCGGAGCTCCCGGAGGAAACCCACACGAACGCAGGTAGAACATACAGACTCCACACAAAAACGCCAACTGAGCCGATGTTCGAACCAGCGACTCAGCGTCCTTCTTGCTGTGAGGCGACAGCACTAACTACTGCACCACTGTGTCGCCCATATCAGCCCACTTCAGGCTCACATTCATTTCGTCAGGGCCAAATGAAGACCACAAGTGCCGCATAACTACCTAAAGTGGCCCACATTTGTATGCTATGGGCTCCACGACCAGTCGAGATCTTATGGCAGAGTGGCCCGTCACATGAAAGCCAGCATGGAGTTTGCTAAAAAACACCCAAATGACTCCAAATTGGTGATAAATAAGATTCTCTGGTCTGATGCGACCAAGATAGTACTTTTTGGCCTCATATTCTAAGTGATTTGTTTGGAGAAAATCAGGCACTGCTTATCATCTGTCCAAATAGCCCCAACTATGAAGTATGGTGGTGGCAGCATCATGCTGTGGGGATCTTCTTCAGCTGCAGGGAGAGGAAGACTGGTTGCAATCAAAAGAAAGATGAATGTGCCAAAGTACAGGGACATCCTGGATAAAAACCTTCTCCAGAGCGCTCAGGACCGGGCCAAAGGTTTACCTTTCAACAAGACAATAACCCTAAGCACACAACTAAAGTAACAAAGTGGCTTCACAACAACTCTCTGACTGTTCCTGAATGGCCTAGCCAGAGACCTAACTCAAACACAATTGAGCATCTCTGGAGAGATTTAAAAATGGCTGTACACCAACATTTAACATCCAACCTGACAGAACTGGAGAGGTTCTGCAAGGAGGAATGGCAGAGGATCCCCAAATCAAGGTGTGAAAAACGTGTTGCATTTCCCCCAAAAAGACTCATGGCTGTGTTAGATTAAAAGGCTGTTTCTACTAAATACTGAGCAAAGGGTCTGAATACTTAGGACCATGTGATATTTCAGTTGTTCTTTTTTAATAAATCTGCAAACATGTCAACAATTCTGTGTTTTTCTGTTAATATGAGGTGCTGTGTGTACATATATAAGAAAAAAATGAACTTAAATGATTTTAGCAAATGGCTGCAATATAACAAAGAGTGGGAAATTTAAAGGGGTCTAAAAACTTTCTGTACACACTTATTCTGCTGTAGTGACACGTGATATAATTATACTCAATAAATTAAGGAAGGTGAGAAGATGAACAATGTTTTTATTGTCATTAGAAGGAAAGACAGGTTTTTCCAATAACAAAGAAAACTTTGCTAATATACTTTTACTAACAAAATATTGTAGCATGTCATAACATATTAACATCTCCATAACAGAATTTCAGTACACAAGATGGTGATTTGACCCAACAACATTATTACAATGTTAAGTCATATACATTATGACAAGAATCCTGCTATACAGAGAGTAGATTTGTAGCTGATGATAGAGCACCTCCTCCTGTCTATTGCTGGTAATTGGACACTTCAATCAAGTTGTCATCAGGGTCACGAAAATAGAGGGAACTGATGGGACCCACAGCACCAGTCCTGTCAACCGGACCCTCCTCTATTGTCACTCCACAAGCCTGCAAAACACAACAGCATCAAAATATGTAGGACATAATACTTAAGCTACACTACCTTCAATATCTAATGTCTCGTGAAATTAGGACAATCATCTAATGAATAGTAAAAATAAAACAAAATTACATTTTAACCCTTAACAATATTTTATTTGCTTTTGTTGTTGTTTCTTTATTTTTTAAAAAGTGTTGGCCAAATGAAATCTACAGTTGAAGTCACAATTATTAGCCCCCTTTGATTTTCCTTTTTTAATACTTCCCAAATGATGTTTAACAAAGCAATGAAATGTGCACAGTATGTCTGATAATATTTTTTCTTCTGGAGAAAGTCTCATTTGTTTTATTTTGGCTAGAATAAAAAAAGTTTTAAATTTTTTTTAAACACCATTTTAAGGTCAATATTATTAGCCCCTTTAAGCTATTTTTTGACAGTCTACAGAACAAACCATCATTATACAATAACATGCCTAATTACCCTAACCTGCCTATATAACAGAGGCCAGTTAATAAGTGCTGTGCAGGTAAACCTCACTCCTCTGACCTCTAAAGGTGCTCTTGCGAAAGACACTAGAAGCCATGGTCTTTAGCCTCCTTAGTAGAGCATCCGACTCCCATGCATAAAGTCGCCGGTTTGATAGCAGCTCGGAGAAGGTTGGGTGGTGTAGGACCGGCGGGGTTACACCTAATTAACCTAGTGAAGCCTTTAAATGTCACTTTAAGCTGTATAAAAGTGTCTTGAAAAACATAGTCAAATTTTATTTACTGTCATCATGGCAAAGATAAAATAAATCAGTTATTAGAAATGAGTTAATAATAATAAAAATGAGATGGGTTGCAGCTGGAAGGGCACCAGCTGTGTATAAACGTGCTGGATAAGTTGGCGGTTCATTCCGCTGTGGCTACCCCGGATTAATAAAGGGACTGAGCTGAAAAGAAAATCAATGAATGAATGAACGAGTTAATAAAACTATTATGTTCAGAAATCTTTTCTCTGTTAAACAGAAATAATAATTCAGATAGGCTAATAATTCTGACTTCAACTGTATATGTAGTGAGACTTCAATTCTACTTCTCTTAAGCTGAAGCCATTTATTAAAGTCAATAATAGGGATATTATGTGAATAAAATCGTGTTTTACCTTGAGATGATCAGCAACAGCTTTCAGAGGGGTTTTGGTAATAAGGCATAAGTCGGCAGATCCTGGTGTTGGTGTTTGTGCTTTAGGTTCAAACTCCTTCCCAACCTGATGCAGGTTAATTTTTTGCTCTCCAAAACTCAAAGCTTTACGGTCACCCTATAATGGCAACATGAATAATTACACTTTGCTGCCACCAAGTGGTTTTGTTTTCAATGAAGTTGTGTATATGGCATTCTAGTACCTTAAAGGTGACGACCTCCATGCCTAAAACCTCGGAGTAAAATTTTGTAGTTTTGTTAAGGTCTCGTACTGTCAGCACCAGGTGGTCCAGATGGCTGATGAGAACTGGACAGGAACTTCTAAACCGGACTGATGAAAGTCCACTTAGAACTGACTGGAAGATAAACCAAGAATTTAACACATCATTTAGCTACATGAATGAATAAAAAATACAAAATGTATGTATTGTTGAGAGTTGTACACAAAAGCAATTTTTTTATATTTGCATTTAGATCAGAGATGCCCAAACTAGGGCCTGCAGGCCAAAATTGGCCCACTGTAACCTTTGATTTGGCCCACCATCTCATCCGAGAAGAGAGTAAAATTGATAGGCAGGGTCGGGTTGAATCATTTTAACCAAGATCGTCATTTCTAATTTAAAAGCCAACTGAAACTGTTTCATTTACATGTTAATTGTAAATATGTAAATAAATATTTTGTAAAAATGTAAATACTGTCACTGGAAGGATAGAGGACAATTGAGAAGACTAATCAAGGCAAAATTTGGTGCAGCTTGACTAGGTTAACTCCATTCGTTTATACTGTAAATGAGATTGTTTTTACTGTAATAAGTTCATTATAAAACGTAAACATGTATAATGTATTAGTTAATACAAAGCAATGTTTTCTAGTTATTTTTAAAAATCCATAAATAAATTTGGAAGTATCCATGACAACTATATTTACCTTCGGACTACTAGCCTCAATCTAGTTTGGCCCTTTATAAGAAAAAGTTTGGGCACCCCTGATTTAGATCATTTACATCACTTTTCAGACTATATATATTTTTGCTATTCTTGTAACAGTAATGATAAAAGAAAGGGTGCTGTAGTTTGACAATTAATATTTTGTATGACAGCAATAAAAAGAGAAGACTGAAAGAATATAATAGAAAGAGAAGTATTCTGTCCCATATATTCCAAATTCAGCCAGCACAAGTGCCTCTGCTTGCCTCCTCCTTCCTCCATTTTAAAAGACAGTATGAACATAAATTATTATACTCATCCATGTTTTAAAGAAAATATTTATTTTCGCTATCACTTTATAAGTATTGTTTCCTACAAACTATGGCTTTATATTTATAATATTGTATTGTCTGTTTAGATTTAGGATTTATTGTAGGATTTATTATTAAGTATGACTTTATTCTTTATCCCTAATCATACCTAATTGCTAAACTAAACTGCTTAACATTGTTGATGTGTGTGTGTGTGTGTGTGTGTGTGTGTGTGTGTCTGCTGTTTTAATGCATAAGTTCCCTACTAAGGAAAAAACAGCTAAAACCAGCCTAGGCTGATTGAATGGTTTTAGCTGGTCGACCAGCCTGGTTTTAGAGGGGGTTTGGCCATTTCCAGCCTGGTCTTTGCTGGTCAGGCTGAGCTAAACCCAGCTGAACCCAGATGGATAGCTGATTTTGGCTGGTCTCCCAACCTGGATAGGCTGGTCAAATTAGTTCTAGCTGGTCATCTCCCAGCCTGACCATTTAAGACCAGCCTGGCATGGCTAAGACCCCTCTAAAACCAGCCTGATCGACCAGCTAAAACCAGCCAATCAGCTTAGGCAGGTTTAAGTAGTTTTTTTCAGCAGGGTTATCATAATTAAATAATTTTATAATTATCATAGTTAAATAATTATTCATAAAGCATTACTGTCTCGCTCTCAGCAAGCTGTCATTCGTTTGACAATATAAGGAAAAATGGCTTTTTGTATTTGTTTTTTCACACACTCGCGTGGGTTTGTTGCTGTCGCTTTTTTCACAACACCATCCGTAATGACGTTTTGGCGACTGTTGCTTCAGATAGCTCCTCCTCCTTCCTGGAAGAAAGCAGCCACGTGACCGTACCTTCCCTTACAGCGTTGCTCAAATTTTCGAGGTTTTACTCGAGGTTTTAATAAAACTTAAAAAAAGGGCAGAACCACTAGCGTCTTTTCTAACCAAGTATTGACGAGGCATGCCCTGTACATAGATCGAAATCTGCCTTTGACCATTTAGAGCCGTTATTTTAAGGTGTTCCGTTATTAATATTTATGAGCCCTTCATCATAGTCCGATTCATAAATACCCTTCAAGGAAACATCTGAAAATGTGTTGTTTATAGTAACAATAGCATTAATCAACATCTAAGTAATATTCAACTTGTCTAATAGCATAACCATGTGCTACTTTTACTTTTCAGCTTTCTGAGTAATTATTATCAAATAAGGTACAGAAAGATAATGTTACCTTGCTGTTGGACGAGCAAGAACGCAGAAAAGTCGAACAAACGCGTAAAGTCAAAGCCATGTTAATCAAAGTCAAATATCTCCGATTATAACACCTGTATAACCTGTCTGGAACTCCGAAATCATTGAAGTCTAACCGGAGAACTAGCCTAACTCACCCTGCCGTAATAACCCTATTACACAAGCCATGCACAAATCGGATGGCTGAAGTAATGCCTATATATATATATATATATATATATATATATATATATAAACAATAAATCAGTTTACTATATATAAGTTTAGATACATGGATACATAAGTGAACATTGATGTGGATAAAAAAAAAAGTTTTTGTCCTAAGAAACAGAAACAGAGAGAAAAGAGAATATTGATTGACTTATCAAAAATATGTGTAGTGTGTGTGTGTGTGTGTGTGTGTGTGTGTGTGTGTGTGTGTGTGTGTGTGTGTGTGCATATACATTAAATTACTCACTACTAAAGCCGGATCTTTGTTATACAAGAGTAATAAATACAGACTTTTAAATGAGGAAAAATCAAGAGAAGCAAAAAATGTGAAAAATATAGTTGAAATTTTGTAGGTTGGAATTTTTTAAATATATGTTTTGCAATATTTAGCTTGAATTTAATTGTATTATCTTTTAATTTCTAAATATGTTTGGGGACTAAAATATTAGTTTATTTATATAATAAAAATTTACTTAATAAATATATCTGTTTAGTAAATCTGTTTTGTTTAAATGCATCAAAATACATTGCCTATATTTATTTATTTATATAAAAACTAAATAACATCACATTTGATTATTAGTTTAAAACTAACTTATTTTTAACCGATTCAAACTTGTTTAAAATCTTATTGTATAATAATTTAAATCCTATCTTATTTTTAAACTGATCATATTTAAATATATAATAAATAAACATAATTCAATATTAAACATAACTTGCAAGAAAACCTAGCAAGATTACTAATACCTGCAGTAAACTACAATTAAAATAAAAAGTGAACATCGAATATTAGATTAAAAGCTTAACTTGAATAAGCAATCAGTTTTAAAATAATAAAGATCGCCATAGAAAAATTGCTGTGTTGCATTTAATAAATACTACAAGAATATTAAAAGCCCATAAATAATGCTGATTTTTATTTTTATTTGATCCCAAAGTCTGAACTGAACTGGCTGATGAGGCTCTGGATGCAAAGTTCATGTTTGCCTTTAATCTTTGACCTTTAAATTCCCATCCAGCAGTACAGTATGTTGTGTCAGTATAAATCTGGCTATTATTAAGCCTCATTGAACAATTTCCCAAAAGCCAGTGCAAGGTGTAAAGACAACTGAGAATTGACTGTGTTTGTTGTGGGGCTGTTTGGGTTGCTGTTGATAAGCTAATGTGTGTGTGTGGTGCATTTGCATCTAAACTCTCTGTATGTGTTGTATTTTGGACCTCTGTATTTAAATGTGCTCTCTCTCGCAGCATGTTTCCATCAGCCGTTTCGCTTGAATACGAGTTGCTTTGTTTAATGGTTTATATATATTTGGCTAGAAGAAAAACAGTTAAATTTTTTTCAAACCATTTTAAGGTCAATGTTATTAGCCCTCTTAAGCAATATTTTTTGTATAGTCTACAGAACAGACCACTGTTATACAATGACTTGCCTAATTACCCTAACTTGCCTGAATAACCTAGTTAACCCTTTAAATGTCACTTTAAGCTGAATATTGAGAAATGTCTAGTCAAATATTATGGACTATCTTCATGGCGTGTCATTATTAGAGATGAGTTATTAAAACTATTATGTTTAGAAATGTGTTGAATAAATCTGCTCTCCGTTAAACAGAAATTGGGGAAAAGCATACAGTGGGGCTAATAAGTCAGGGGTGAATAATTCAGACTTCAACTGTACATCAAAACGAATATTTGCTGAATGTGAATTGAACGTCTTGATGTAGTTACCCTCTAGATCAGTTTGGGAATGTAAACAGTTTGCTGGTGTGACAGGCAGGATTGCAGAGTCGTGCTGTGTGGCGATCCTTCATTCACTCCGGACGGTCTCATTGACACACTGATTACATTACAGCGATCCAGAGTTCAAGCCAATTGAAGGACAGAATCGAGCTGAAACAGAAACAGCAGGAAAAAAAACAAATAATATTTTTTCGTCTTGTTTACACTCACCAGCCACTTTATTAGGTACATCTTATTTAATTGCCTTCAGAACTGCCTTAATCCTTCATAGCATAGATTCAACAAGGTACTGGAAATATTCCTCAGAAATTTTGCGCCATATTGACATGATAGCATCACACAGCTGCTGCAGATTTGGCGGCTGCACATCCATGATGCGAATCTCCCGTTTCACCACATCCCAAAGGTGCTCTATTGGATTTATATCTGGTGACTGTGAAGGCCATTTTGAGTACAGTGAACTCATTGTCGTATTCAAGAAACCAATCTGAGATGATTCACGCTTTATGACATGGTGTGTTATCGCTCTTGTTAACACTGTTGTTATAAGGAATGGACCACCACAACCAGCCTGAACCGTTGATACAAGGCAGGATGGATCCCTGCTTCGCGTTGTTGTCGCCAAATTCTGACCCGGCCATCCGAATGTCGCAGCAGAAATAAAGACTTATTAGACCAGGGAACGTTTTTCCAATCTTCATAGCGTTCATAACGAGCAGTTGAACAGGTGTACCTAATAAAGTGGCCAGTGAGGGTATGTGTGTGTATTGACTTTATTAGTTTTCTCTGCGACACTCATTGCTCCAGAAACTTTCCATGGGCCCTATAGTAGATGACTATTTTTGTGTTAGCAGCTGCCAGCAGTCTTAATAACAGCCGGAGAAGAATGTGTGTCTATAATCTCTAAGCTTTTACTATGATGATCATATTATTTCTTAAATTTCCCATTAATTAGAACTCATTAATGCCTACCCCTACCTTAACCGTCACAGTGATGTAAAACAGATCTGGACTCTTCTCTATTATTATAGCTGATTAACAATGTGAATGGGCGATAACAGCCTTCTGAGTGACATTTACTGAGCGGAAGGCCCCTACTGGCCCATATCTATCAGCTATGGCACTCTATGGCATTGGACTTTTAGGTATTTTAGAGATGTGTAATAAATGAATGTATGATGTGGTTTTATGTCTTTGGCAGCGAGAAGAGGCTGAATCCAAAGCCCGAGAGGAAGCAGAGAAACAGAGGATCGAACGAGAGAAACACTTCCAGAAGGAGGAGCTGGAATGCTTGGAAAGAAAGAAGGTAAAATAAAAGTCCACCAATTAAGCTGAACACAGCATCACGCTCTCTCATTCACACACACACATAGGCGTGCTCGCTCGCTTGGGAGTGATATTGTTAGACCGCCGGCTCCCGTTCAAATTTCACCAGTTACCGACCGCTCCCATGCTTTATCCGGAATTTAATCCCACGCTGCAAGAAATCTGGTCGGGCCCCGCAGACCTCTAATCTGGCATTATGGTGGCTCAGTGGTTCGCCTCAAAGAAAGAAGGTCGCTGGTTCGAGTCCCGGCTGGGTCATTTGGCATTTCTGTGTGGAGTTTGCATGTTCTTAGTGTGTGTGAATGAGTGTCTATGGATGTTTCCCAGTACTGCTTTGCAGCTGGAAGGGCATCCGCTGTGTAAAACATATGCTGAATAAGTTGGCGGTTCATTCTGTTGTGGTGACCCCGGATAAATAAAGGGACTAAACTGAAGGAAAATGAATGAATGAATTTTTAAAAATGGTTAAATATAGCACTTGGGAAATATTTCTAAAAGATTTAATTTCACAGGAGGGCTCAATATTTTGTCTTCAATTGTATTTGAGATTTTAGTTCAGCTCTGTTGGTTTAACGTTTGTGTTTACATTTTTAGCGTCTGGAAGAAATCATGAAGAGGACTCGTAAGAGTGACGCAGGAGCACAGGTGAGATGTGTGTGTGTTTTATAAATTCATCCTAAACACACTCAATAAAAGAAAATTAACCTGGTTTATTAATTTCTTTGCAGAAAGATGTTAAAACTCCAACTCAAGTGAATGGCAGAGTCACTGACAGCGGTAAAAATCTATTTATAGTACTGTGAATATTTAAAAATCACTCTTTTATTAATATCATGTAAGTAGGGTTAAAATAAAAAAATACAATGTTGTTTTCCTCTCGTCTTGCAGTAATACAGAGAAATCCGTCAGAAGCTCTTCATACTGGTGCGACAAACCAATCACCAATGAGGTAATCGAGACGCTGCATGAATTGAAATTGAAATGAAGCTGCATGAATTATGTTTTGCTTATTTTCCCGTTTGTGTGTCTTCCTCAGCTCTGTGTCCTGGGATGCAGCACCGGTCATTAACGGAGCTCCGCCCACTAAGCATCAGAATGGACTGTCCTCCAATGGAGACGCAGCAGACTTTGAGGAGATAATCAAGCTGTCCAATCACAGTGGGAACAGTGGGCAGAGTCAACCGGCTGACCAAATCATGGCCTTCGAGGGAGGAGAACCGTTCATGATGAAGGCGGGGCCTATGAAACCTCAACATGTGGCAGGTAGAATCAGATTTTGTTAGATTACGTACAGTTGAAACCAGACGTTTACATACACTTTATAAAGAGGCACATAATTAGTTTTTTTTTTTTTTAATGAGACTAAACTTATTTTTTAGGTAAGTTAGGATGATCAGATTTGTTTCTGTTCTGCTTAATAGCAGAATAATGAGAGATATTTTTGAGAAATTGTTATAACCTTTCTTGAAAGTCAAGTGTACATACAGTAAGATTATTCTGCCTCTGAAAAAGCTCAGATGATGATGTCAAGCTTTTGGAAGTTTCTGATTGGCTAATTGACAACATTTGAGTTAATTGGAGGCACAACTGTAGAATAGTATTTAAGGAAACCTCAAACACACACTGCTTCCTTTTGTGACAACATGGGAAAATCAACAAGTCAGAATCAACAACAAAGCCAGATTACAATTTGCTAAATTACACTGGGAAAAAGACTAATATTGGAGACATGTCCTGTGCTCTGATGGAACTAAGATTGAACTTTTTGGCTATAATGAGCAGTGTTACATCTGGAGGACGAAGGGGAAAGCTTACACGCTTATGAACACCATCCTAACTGTGAAGTATGGGGGCGGCAGCATCATGTTGTGGGGCTGTTTGGCTGCAGGAGGGACTGGTCCACTTCACAGCATAGATGGCATCATGAAGAAAGAACATCATGGAGAAATACTGAAGCAACATCTCAAGACATCAGCCAGGAAATGAAAACTTGGCCACAAATGGCTCTTCCAAACAGACCATGACCCTAAGCATACTGCCACATTAGTTCAAATGTGCTTTAAGGACAACAGAGTGAATGTTTTGAAGTGGCCATCACAAAGCCCTGATGTCAATCCTATAGAAAACTTGTGGGCAGAGTTGAAAAAGCTTGTGCGAGCAAGACAGCCAACAAATCTGACTCAGTTACACCAATTCTGTCAGGAGTAATGAGCCAAAATTCCAGCAAACTATTGTGAGAAGCTTGTGGAAGGATACCCAAAACATTTGACCAAAGTTAAACAGTTTAAAAGCAAAGCTAAACAAATACCAAAGAAATGTGTGTAAACTTTTGACTGTCTAGAAATTAATAAAAATTCTCAAAAAAAAATCTCTCTTTATTCTGGCATTTAGCAAATGTAAATCATTTAGGTAATCATAACGGACTTAAAATAGTAAACGTTTAGTATCATTTACCATCAGACATTTTTTAAATGATTTTGTTTCTTTTTTTTAGAGTGTATGTAAACTTCTGGTTTCAGCTGTATGTTAGATCATATATGGATCAAATCTGGTCACCAGTGGAGTTGCTTTCCAGTGTTTTGTCTTTCAGCAGTGACATTTACATTATACTGAACTGAACTAAACTGAACCTAAAATAAAATGTTGAAAATAATGTATAAAGGATGATTAAGAGAGTCTCCAAGCTGATATTTTCCATGCATGAAACTGATGATTTCTGCAGTTTGTTGACTTTAGGACAGTGTGAATGACTGAAAAAAGCAGCCTTGGCATTCTGCAAAGCGTCTCTATTTTCAGTTTCATAATACCAGTCATAGATGTTGTTGGCAAGCTTTTAATAGTTCAATAAATCATCTTCTCACATGTGTTTCTGCTGTTTTCCTGCAGAGGTGCTGTGAGAGATGAGATATCAGAGTCTTCTGGATATAAAGAGAAGAAGAGAAGCCTTACTCTACCACCGCTTCCACCCTGACGTGTGCCAAACCAACAAAAACAGACTGCTTCAACTTTAGAAACACAGCCGAGCCGGACGCACTCTGGAGAAAGTGCCAGAAGACGACCTTAAAGAGACACTTATATACATATACAACGTTTGCAAAAAGTCTCTGTCTATTTCACTGTGTGTGTCATGGTGCAACATTTGTTGAGTTTCTTTAACAAGTCACCTGCCGATCATGTGGTGCACCTTAAAAGAGTCGCTATATATTGAATTTTAGAAAAGACAACTTGGCTTATCTTTATGATATGAATTATTGTTGTTGTTGTTGCTCTTGTTATGATGTATTGTTATCGTTCTTTTAAGTAGAGAAAAAAAAGCAAACGTGTGTCTTGAACTATTGCGTTATTTAACGTGTGGCGCATCAGAAGAGGCCGATATTCTGTATGTTAATGTATATTTGCCTGATTATGACAGACCTGTGAATTAAATCTTTTTGAAAGGGGCTGTTTGTCAGTGAGTGGAGTGTTCGCTGTAGTTTAAGCTAATCGTAATAATGTGATTTTCATTTTAGTCTGGCTATATCATGATGGTAGAACAGTGCTTTATAATAATAATAATAATAATTCCTTACATTTATATAGCGCTTTTCTTGGCACTCAAAGCGCTTTACACATAGGGGGAATCTCCTCATCTACTTTTTTTTTAATGCAAGAAAGAACATTACAAAGATATAATATGAACAAAGAGACAAAGAGGGTTACATAAATAGAATTCCAGCAAATTAAACAAGTTTAAATGATTTTCACCAAGAAAGTATTTTACATGCAGTGTAATTGTTAGAGTCTTTTAAAGAGTTTACATAAATTTCAAAGTCCTTTCTGAAAATAAAAAAGTAAGGGTGTTTCTTTGAAAATTAACATATATGGAAGTAAAATGTTGCTATAAAAAACAATAAATCAACAATAAATGTTCAATGAGAAGGATCTACACTCAGAGAGTAACCAAAGAATACAATTTTTGGGGAAATACAGAAGTTTGGAAATAAGAATTTTTTAATGAAATTGGAAAAGTCAACCCAAAACACTTTACAGTAAGTACACTTCCAAAATAAATGCTTTAGTGTTTCATCATATTGAGTACAAAATTAGCATTTAGGGGAAATATTGTTATTAAATTTAGCTAGTTTGGTATTTATTGGGAAGCAATCTCCTCATCTACCACCAGTGTAGCATCCACCTAGATGCAGCGACAGCAGCCGTTTTCCACCAGACCGCACACCACAGAGAGAGGAGACAGAGAAATGAAGCCATGATGGACAGAGGTCAGTGGGTAAATTTGGCCAGGATGGCGGGGTTAAACTCGTACTCTTTTTCGAAAGACAATCTGGGATTTAAGGGTATATGCTGAAGCATGTTAATAGGACTTTTAAGCTGGGTTAAGCGCTTCCGGCGAACTGTATGCCAAAGGAAATATCTGCACGTTTTTAAGGTCTGTTTTCTTTAAAAATCAGCGATCTCCACTGGCTGAGTGATATCCGATATAAAGTAGGTCTCAGATTGTACAAGAAGCACTGCATTAAATTATATTTGCCCCGCCATGTCTTTATAATATGAGCATTTAAGTTATTTTACCTCATTGTATTCAATGGAGCGTCTGCGCTAGTCTGCCGATTCTGACGGGCGAGTGCGAGTAAAGGGTCTTTTGTCTCGTTTTACGCTTGAACAACTAAATGAATGCCAAAGTTTATTTAACTGAATGTATTTTAATTGCATCACAACATCAATGCTGTAAAAGGAACCGTATAAAATGGAAAAAAAACTCATAATAACCGGTCACCGGAAGTTAATAAGTATGGGAACAACACTAGCTCGGCATATATCCAATTATATTAATCTGTCTCCATATTCTACTGCATCCCAGAATATTACAGAGCACCAAAAATGTAAAAATATATATTTATTATATTTAAGATATTTTTGTCAACAGCAGACGGCAACTAGCCGTGACGCAAATTCCGCGTCTCTGTGCTCCAATCAGATGAGCCCTCCTCAGCGCTCGCCATGACAACGAGACAACAGTGACGTGCCTTGTAAAAATTTGCATATGCATTCCTATAAACCTCGTGTGCTCTCAATCAGCGTTGTCAGTTCGCCCGGTGTAGCTGTTTGTACTTGACCAAGGTGAGTTCAATACCGACGGTACGAGTGGAGCTACGCCAAACTCACGAAGTCCGCTTCGTGATGCTTCACCCGGGCCCGTCTGTGCTGTAGTTCCTTGCGGTTTGCGTACATAAACGCAATATCGCGAAGAATATTACGTGTTTGTTGCTCGAAATGTGCCGCCGAGCAACATCCAGTGAATACTGGCACGGCCTGGCGCCCGGTCTTTCCGTGCACTCCCTGGGGCGAGGCGGCCTTTGAGCCCTAGGCAGGGAACAAACAACCCCCGAGGACCCTCAGGGAAACACGGGGGGCCGGTAGTGGGACCTCGCTGCGAGGGTTATGGTGGGTGGGAGTAGCGAGGCCCACTCATCTTCTATTTTAAACTATAGTTTCAAACTTTAGTTTACTATAGTTTGAAATAGAAACCATGATAACTGTTATGATTTAACTATGCAAAGAGCCTAGGATGACCAAGAGCAACAGATTCCGCTATTTTGAAGTGAAGCGATCGCTCGTGCATTGGATATCATTGCTGTCGCAATGGCAAACAGCGGCTTTGTTTTTATTCAAAAAGCGCGTTATTGTTTCCCAAATTGCACTAGACTATCGCCTCTTGGTGATTCTATGCTCTCTGCTCTTTGTCTGAATGTTGTAATGTTTTGCTTTGTTTTTCAGATGAGTTGTTGAGCAAAGATGGACTATTGAAGACAACAGTTGAAGACGACCTCGGGTGATCTCCACGAGCGCGCGCATCATAATGTTTCCGGTCTGTTTTCTGAGAGTTTGTCTTGTTTTAGATAAGTTTGCAGGTCAAACAAAATAAACTATACTCTTCCTAAACACCTGTCTCGTGTTTTATTTGTCCTCTACAGCAATACACTGTCATTTAAGTCTGTTGAATGCATTTGTATGCAACATGGTTTGATAATACAGTAGTCTACAAATAAATAGTTGTTATAAATGTACCTTCAATAGTCAACATTTAGTGTAGGTAATCAAAAGTTAATCATATTTGTCCTAAGACATAAGAGTAATGTTATGGTTGTTACATACCTGTATTTATTATTATGCTGTATGTTTAAAACCAGCAGATTTACTATATATGTAACATGTCATGAACTTACTGTTATTAAAAAAATTGCTTAAAATATCTTAAGAAAAGAATGGGTGTTGTCTTTGGTTTTAGGTCAACCTACTGTAGGTTTTAGGGTGAATACAGCAGATATAGGCAACCTATATCATAATATTGGTAGTCGGAGTTTTTTAAAGACCCAAATCAAGTAAAACGTATCTTCCTCAAGCATGCAAAAGTCAAATATAGATATATATATATAAAACACAGTTTCCAACAATAAAATTTTGTCTTGTGAAAAAGACCAGTGGGGTTGGTAAGAAAAAAAAGTTAATGTCAAGTTATATGTATTTGTAAAATAAGTTCATAATATTTGGTCATTAGATTATGTGACCGCTAGATGGCGCTCGTTTAAAAGGAGCGTTCATTTCAAAGGAGCGTTACCCTGTACTAAAATGGCGGATCTGTTGACGCATTCCGTTCAAAAGACAACATTAGGGTAGGCGACATTTAACGTATATATCTATGGACGCTAACTAGTATTCACATCGTATCATGCTCAACTCTTAATACTCTTTTACGCATTTTGAGAGTGTTTGCGTTATTTCAGAGAGATATTTAAGCACAATGAAGTAACAGTGCCATCTGTGTACTATAGCTACACAATGCAGCATTTAGCTCGCTCGTAAACATCTCTGCTGTCCTCAGATCATTGTCTGAGCAGAAGTTTCATCATTAGCCCTGACTGTCAGATGCTCTTCATCTCAGGAGCTGTATTTTTAGATGCTTGATAACAGATATAAGGTGAGTTATGGCTGGAGTGGACGCTGTCAGATGGGCTTATATCAATTTTGGCATGACAGGAGCGAACAGGATACTAATGAGTGACAGAGAGAGTCCACAAAAACTCTCCGGTTGCATTTCATTTGATGAATATTATCATTTAGAGCTTCAAGTCTTGCCTCAGGTTTTTCCCTCAAGTGTTTTTCGTCAGATTTGTCTTAGAAAGGTGAGAAATGTCTGAGTTTAAGACATATACTTAAATTAATATATAAGTACTGAAATATCCAATAGTACCTTCGTAAAAGATTTTAGGTAGATCGTAAACCCATATTATAGAAATCATGATCGACTTATTGATTGACTTATTTAAATATATGATAAATATAATTCAATATTAAACATAAATTGCAAGAAAACCTAGCAAGATTACTAATACCTGCAGTAAACTACAATTAAAATAAAAAGTGAACATCGAATATTAGATTAAAAGCTTAACTTGAATAAGCAATCAGTTTTAAAATGATAAAGATCGCCATAGAAAAATTGCTGTGTTGCATTTAATAAATATTACAAGAATATTAAAAGCCCATAAATAATGCTGATTTTTATTTTTATTTGATCCCAAAGTCTGAACTGAACTGGCTGATGAGGCTCTGGATGCAAAGTTCATGTTTGCCTTTAATCTTTGACCTTTAAATTCCCATCCAGCAGTACAGTATGTTGTGTCAGTATAAATCTGGCTATTATTAAGCCTCATTGAACAATTTCCCAAAAGCCAGTGCAAGGTGTAAAGACAACTGAGAATTGACTGTGTTTGTTGTGGGGCTGTTTGGGTTGCTGTTGATAAGCTAATGTGTGTGTGTGGTGCATTTGCATCTAAACTCTCTGTATGTGTTGTATTTTGGACCTCTGTATTTAAATGTGCTCTCTCTCGCAGCATGTTTCCATCAGCCGTTTCGCTTGAATACGAGTTGCTTTGTTTAATGGTTTATATATATTTGGCTAAAAGAAAAACAGTTAAATTTTTTTCAAACCATTTTAAGGTCAATGTTATTAGCCCTCTTAAGCAATATTTTTTGTATAGTCTACAGAACAGACCACTGTTATACAATGACTTGCCTAATTACCCTAACTTGCCTGAATAACCTAGTTAACCCTTTAAATGTCACTTTAAGCTGAATATTGAGAAATGTCTAGTCAAATATTATGGACTATCTTCATGGCGTGTCATTATTAGAGATGAGTTATTAAAACTATTATGTTTAGAAATGTGTTGAATAAATCTGCTCTCCGTTAAACAGAAAATGGGGAAAAGCATACAGTGGGGCTAATAAGTCAGGGTTGAATAATTCAGACTTCAACTGTACATCAAAACGAATATTTGCTGAATGTGAATTGAATGTCTTGATGTAGTTACCCTCTAGATCAGTTTGGGAATGTAAACAGTTTGCTGGTGTGACAGGCAGGATTGCAGAGTCGTGCTGT